AAACCACTAACTTTGCTCCGGATATGCACACTTGTTTCGAGTTGCGATTTTTGTACACAAACGACCATAGGAGATCGCTATTAGAACCGATCTGCAAGAACCACTTGAACAATGCGAAGCGAAGAAGAAAACTTACTTGGGATATACTGAATGCGACTGGATTTTCTATACAACATTGAAAACTAGAGAAGAACTTTGCATTATTCTCCAGCTTTTCCACTATGCGCTTTTTCACCTAGAAGTGGAAAATTGATGAGGCGAAGTTAAGCACTTTTTCATCACCTCGTTCAACGGATCAAAATGATCTTTCTTCACGGATAACAGAATTAGACAAGCAGAACTTCCTTCCCATGGAAAGGAAATAAAAGCATAGACGAAACCCCTGAAAAATAGGGATTTGTGATTCACTCATACAAAGACATGATAAGCAGTCACTTGTCATTGAAATTCGGCAAGCAAATGGGTGTCCATGTCTGCGCCTCCGATATTCGCAGCGAGCTATTTCCGGAGATCAAATTGAGTAAAATGTGAGTATCTCGTGGATGAAGTGCGTAGCGTTTCAATCTCACGAAAGCAGCCACATGTCTGTGCGCAATCATGAGTCCGAAAAGTACTCCCTGAACAAAAAACCTTATGCTTTGATGTCTTCGCTCGGCACAAATGACCTACATCAAGTTTAGAAGCTGTGAGACATGAAGCCATTGTTGACGATAAAAAGTCTCTATCTGACGGTGGCATTGGAATTATTCGTATAGCTGTCTGTAGTAGAGAGATGTCAGTGCGCCAAGCCATTACGCTGCTGTCCATATATCTGGATGTGCGTAAATTCATAAAGAAACGCTTTCTCTTATGGTGCCTACCAAAATCATAATAATACCATGCTAAACTCTTGTCTGTGAGCTAGAAAGTATGTCGAACTCAAACAAAGAATCTTCTGCGAGAATCTTGGTGCATAGCGCGGGATCAAAATAATTGGCACACGCTTATTAGAAGGATTACATGACGTTGGTCCACCTATACTCGTATTCAAATTTATCCTATACGAATATGCAACTAACTTGTTCATTCGTAAAATATCAAGATTGTTAGCCTTACGAAAACATTTTTTGGTTCTCTTTTTTAGAGATTACGAATAT